TTTTCTTCCGAACTAGTGTCACGTATGCTAAAAAGGGGTAAAAAATTACATATAAAATAAGTTCAGGAGGGTAATAGGACCTTAGTATAGTATAAGTGTGTCTCTGAGATTTCGGGCATAGGTTGAGGGGGTACTTGAGTATTTTCCCTATTTATTTAGATGATAAGAATTCTAACTTCCAAACATGAAATAAATATATTAAAAGATAAAAACTATGAAAAAGTATAAGATATACTTAAAAATTATATCAAAATAGGTATTTTTACGTATAAAATAAAATTTAGAAATTATATATAATATCGGGTTGATTTGGTCTCCAGTTGGTTTTTTCAGTTGAAACCAAACCAACTCAAATATAGTAGGGTTTTTTTTCCCAACACCAAACCAAGTCAAATCAAACCATTACTTTGATTTTTTTTCCCGGTTGACTTGGTTTGCAGTTTGGTTCGGTTTTGTACACCCCTAACAAGAGCATATGACGAAAGATATCTGAATAGCATTTACAATAGTTCAGGATATATTTATCAAGAAGCAAACGCAAAGTGTTTGTAAGTTCTAGGTTGATAATACCTCTTAAGTTGGTATAATTTAATTTGCTAATGTGGTTCAAAGATACGCAGTTTGAGATGACTAAATGATTCATAAGAGTGCTTGTTAAACATGATTAACGATAATGATATGAAACAAATAACAATGAAACAATTGACAATATGAAAACAATTGAATAGATTAGGCTTTTTATCTTCCGTCGTATACACTTACCAAGGAACATTGTAGTCACTATATGAAGAATGATGAAGAAGTTCGTCCAAACTTTAGAAAATTTTTGACCAAACTAAGCCATTATATAAAATAATTTACCAAAGTAATACATTTTTCTAAAATTTTACAAAATTAGTATAAACGTATTTCACGGTAACGTTTTAGGATATATTATAACAGCATTAGGTTGATATACGTTACTGTAAATAACATTTTACTCCTAAAACGTTACTATGAGTAACGTTTTACTCCTAAAACGTTACGATGAGTAACGTATATCAATCTGACGCCATCAACTTTCAAAAAATAAAATATATCCTAAAACGTTACTGTGGAATACGTTTATACTAGTTTTATAAAATTTTAGAAAAATATATTATTTTGGTGAATGGCTTTATATAATGGTTTAGTTTGGTTAAAACCTCAAACTTTAGAATCAGACTAAATAATCGATTGAATGAAACCATTTACATTGTAATCAAAGAAGATCAAAATTAAAATTCTTAGCTGAAAATAGTAGAATTGAAGAGTTCTTCGATCAAAATTTCTTCTCAATGAATTAAATAGCAAGGCCAAGAAGAGTTATCAAAGCATGAGGTAAAAACAGTAGGAAGCTCAAACAATTTATGCTCGAAAATACATACATATATCATTTTCCACTAAACTTTTATACCGATTTACCTAAGAAAACACAATATTTTCCTCGATCGAGTGGGCTATATATATACACACATTTAATTATTCTAGGGTATTAAGTTGACATGGTAAACCTCATTCATATCAGGATAAAATAAACCAAAATTTTGTTCTTTTGATTCTCGTTAAAGAGAGCGAAAATATACGTCTCCAAAGCCTTTCCAGGCCTCTTAGGAGTTCCTTGCCCAGATGAAACATGTGAAATCACATTATTCACACAAGTTTGAGCATTTCCAATAGTTGCATAAACATCTCCAGCACTTGGCCATCCTGTTTCCGCTACCACAACGTTTAAACTAGACTGTCCAACTTTCTCCAAAGCAGCATACACAGAATCAACCATTGCATCAAACAAGTTTTTGTATTGCAACGCTCCGTCAGGCACAATCCGAGCCGTGCCTAGAAAAAGCGCATAGTCCAACTGAATTTGAGCAGAGTTTCCAGAATAAGCGTAGTATGGATAGACGTTAATCAATAACGGATAATATTTTGCAGCTAAAAATTGTGCGATGGGCTGTAGGTATTGCGCGGCCTCCTCGGAGAACGTGCCATTGGAAGGAGGATACGAGGTCTCTAAAACCTGTAACGACATTGCTGTTGTGACGGGTATGTAATAATCAGAGCCAATGATTGCTGCGTCCAGATTTTGCATGGCTCCTAATACGTAACTTGCTAATGGACTTGGTATCACTTCGTTACCTACTGAAATGTGTGTAAAATCGAGAAGTGAAGCATATGGAATAACGTTATTTTGTACCCAATTTGTTGCAAATGTTGGATCAGTTGCAAGTGCTTGTAAATCTTCATTTCGAGTACCAAGAATTACTGAAATAGCTGATTTCTCTAGTGCTTTTAACACGTCGGGGTTCGGGTCGAAAATTCGAATTTTTTGTATGTTTTTCGATTTCAAGAAGTTGAAGACTTGGTCTGGTGGTGGTAGATTGTTACCCAAAAATCCATAGTTCAATCCAATTCCTTCAACACCTTTAAAAGAAAAAAGATCAGTATAATACGCTTAAAAAATAAAGTTATTAACGAGTTTAAAAAAGTGAAGAGTGCTTACCATAAAATTGATGAAACTCACAGATGATGAAGGTAGAGAGAAAAGAAGAAGAAGA